GATCAGTCAATCACTGTCATATTCCTCAATTAACAGGTCTTCATTATAAAGGGCTTCAGTGCTTGTGGGCTGAGGCTGGCTGGCAGAAAGTTCCCCAGAAGGATCCTGGCTGTTTGGCAAGTTGGGCTCAGTTGTGGCATTTCCTGGTGCGGATTCTGGGTCAAGGGACTGAGCAGCAGAAGAATCTTCATTTTCACTGTCAGTATCCAGAATGCCAGGGTCTTTGTCATTAAGTGCTTCAAGTCTCAGCCTGAAAATAAAGACATTTATTAAACCATTTCAGAAATCTTTCAAATGCAATAACACTTCAAAGTTTTGTATATCTCACCTTCCAGGAACCCTCTTTTGAGAAAGCTGGCCAACATTCTGGATGAAGGCTATTTGAGCTGATATGAGAAAGATGAAAAATATATTAAATAGAACAAAAAAAGCTGAATTATGTATTAGAAGAAATGCACCATTCATTTTTGACCATATTTTGAGTCTTGCATACTTGTGTGGGAGGCAGGAAAATAATTTCACTTGAAAGATAATAGTATGCAGTTTGGTTAAATGATGTTTGTGTATGTTTTGCGGATACTAAGGTCACATGTTCACCTTTATTTCTCATTGGGTTGGTGAGCTTTGCAAGATAAGGCACCAGTTCTGTCAGGAGGCTCACAGGAGTAAGGCAGAAATTTAAGAAGAGTGACTGTGCAGTCAGGTAATTCTCTCGATACTATCACAAAAACAGAGTTAAAATACATTCATATAATACATTTACAAGTACAACACAAAGATGTAGATAAAGTAAAAACTAAATATACCATCTTGTTTATGTGTAGCCAATGTGGTTTATGAAGAGGCCTGAATCCGGCAGTGGACTGGCTGCTGGCTTGTGCTCGAGAGGAGTTTGAGTGCAGGAGGCCTCTAGTGGCCACTGATGAGCCATATTCCAACATGGTCGACCTTGACTGTGAAAAGATGAACGCCATGACAACAAAACAAAGTTGTTGCTAAGATACTACATGATGATAGTCCTCAGGAATCAAATGTTATGTCTGCAGTACAATCAGAGTAACCCTGCATATCTCCATGTATGTTATTATGGAAGTCCACCAGCATTTGCACTCACGCTCCACTCTGCTGTCAGAAAGTCTGCATCAGAGAGGTACTCGCTGGCTTGTGCTATATCCTCTACATCCGAAAAGAAGTCAGGGTAGTTCTGGTGCAAGTAGAGGTTGAAGAATTCACCAGACATATGGGAACGTTCAATGACAAGCTGAGGAAAATATTATAATCAAAAGATTGTTAGAACATTAAAGCAGCTTAAACTTTTTATAGTGTAATTTACAACATAAATTAATATTTACTTCTGGATCAACAAGTAGTTTGTCCCTTTGATGATCTGTTAAATGTGGAGGCAGCTTGGGTGCTTGAGTGCTTTCATAGCTTTCACCTAAAAATCACGTCATCCATTGGTATAAAATAAATATGAATGAATTTACACACAGTTCATGATGTACAATACATCATAGTAATCAGAGAAAAACATTTTGGCAAGAAAGATAAAAAAAAAAAGAAAAAGGGAGTTGAAAACGACTAACGTTTGCAGTAGAGGATTTTCCCTAAAGCTCTGAACAGGAAAAGTGAAGCATCTTTCCCTCCAATAGCTGGGCTTTCATCCAGCATGTCTGTTGATTTTGAAGACTTGCTCCTCCCCTTTGCTCTTATGGTGGGTTTTGCTGCAGATTTGCCCTTCTTGGAAGCCCAGAGTCTTCTCTCTAGACAATTGTCTGAGAATTGAAGAGAATGATTGCATAATTACAGTTGACATACTTTACAGAAAAACAGAAGAAAATAATTCTATATTTTCTAGTTCTATTACCAGAAAAAAAACATACTATATAAACGTGTTCAGTAACTATTTTCTCACCAGTAAATGAAGAAAACTGCAAGTTGTTGATGGCACAGCGAATATCTCCTGAACTTCCTGAGCAAAGAAGATCTAAAGAACCTTTATCAGGAACAGAGATCCTGCCAGAACTCTGCAAAGACCATTTAAAGATATAGATGTGCTGAGTGAAGTATTATGGATCTCAGAGTCAAAACTATCTGCTCAGAAGACGCAGGAAAAACAAACAACACAACCTACCTTTCCTGCCTCAATAGTTACAATGCGGCTTAGGACCTTCATCATACTGGTGGGGGCCACAGGGTTAAAACTGAAACAGAGATGTTTTACCTGTGATGACCTTGGGCTCGGATATTTTTAACTAAAGATTTCGGAAAAATAAATTTTTTTGTACCTAATGTTGTGAATTTCAAGTTCATGCAGAACATCTTTAAAGAGAAGTCTGGAGTTCTTGTCCCCGCTGAGACTATCAGACACAATCAGGACCAGTGGGCACCGGCCCGTCTTAATAAATTGCCTAAATGGAAAAAGCAAAAATAAGGACATTGGTATACAAGATACAAGTGACAACTAATTATCAACAATACTTCAAAATATAGTGCTAATGCTCACCTGAGTATATCATGCAAGCACCCTGGTTGCCTATAGAACTGGTTTGGAAATTCCTTAGATAAGACAAAAAATAATGGGAAAGTGTCACTCAGCATCTCAATTTTAATTTAACATTATTTATGTTCAGTTTCTCTTCTCGTTGCCTTTTTCGTCAATTGCTTTTTTTCTTGCCCAACACTTTCTCTTTTGCACAATTTATTTCAGATTTATATAAAGTTTGTGTATTTTTCAACATCAGTAATATGTTTGAAGAGTAGTTCTGTGCAGCACCTCTATAAGAATTATTTTCCTGTCTTCAGTCACTTTCTCTCCGCTCATTTGTAGACGGTTGTATTTGTTGGCTCGTAGCAGGTACTCTTGGAATAACCCTGTTTGTGAGCTGCCATGGAAACGGTTAAACCTTGAATCTGTTTGAATAAAAAGGGCAGATAAACAAGCTAACAAAAACATTTCATAATATACACAGACACCGAGATATAATTTCATCCATGAATCATTCTGATATGTGGTAAAAATATGGGTGCTGAATAATTATCATTCACTAGATATTATGCATTGCACTGTGTCGCTGGTAAGAAGAAGAAGTGTCGCTGGTGACTGGTAAGAAGAAGACTCCTGACCTGGATCAAAGCTTTGTGTGAACAAATCCTCCGTTTTGTACTGAGAGGTGGTGGAGGGATTTGACCACTCTTGGATCTGAAAACCCAAATCCTTGGCAAGGACTTGAACAGTTGCTGTCTTCCCACATCCTGAGGGGCCAGTGAGCAACAGAATGGTGCCACCCTGTGGAGAGATGACCACAAATAAAACCAAGAGTGTAAAACTATTCCCAAATGATTAAATAAACATACATCACCCAACATACATGTCATACTTGTCAGACCTTTTTTGATTTGTCCAAATGAACTGTCAACCAGCTTTCAACTTCTTCAACTTTCTTTTTGTGGACTGCCAATTCAGCCTGTCAGAGAGAAAAAAAGCATTTAAGCAACAATGCTTGTAGATTGAAATAACAAAAGCAATATGAAAATGTTAAGTAACAGACAAATGTGTTTTTAGGGGCACAATCTATCTCAGAGTGAAATAGTTTGTATGACCAAGACTGGAGTACTCAGCCCTACTTTATGAAATCTAATTTACTGTAGTTTTTAAATCAAATTAATCAAAACACTCTTGAAATAGTCATAAGTTAGCTTTGCTTCAACCACCCACCTAAAACTGTTAGAGAGACGGTGGAACTAAACTGCAGGAAGGTCGATTTTCCAAGAACTATACGAAGAACCCGAGCAATACAATTTCTGTACCTGTGATTGGGGAGCATACATATCCACCCAGGGCTCATCCTGGTCTGGTTTATATGCTTCACTTGACACACTGATCTGGTTGCTGGACACATGAGGATCTACTTTCCTCTTCCTGGATTTTTTCTCTGCTTGGTCCCCAGTAGATGGCCACCGGGTAGTTTTGCTTTCCCCTGAGAGTGGCCCCTTTTTCAGGGACCTGTTCGCTCCTCCCAAAAGTTCACCAAATGATGGTTCCACCCAGCTGTTTATCTTAACAGGAAATACAAGCAGAACACATATGATACACATCAGCATCAGTAAATTCAGAGCATCCACATCCATTCTCAGTGTGTAAAGGACAAAAAAAAAACTGATGAAAAAAATATACGATATGAAAAAAGAAAGAATAATCAAAAGTACTTTCAAAGATGTTACATACTTTTCCAGAGGACTGCTTTCTTCCCAAAGACAGCTTTGACATCATCGATTCTGACATCCCATTCAGTTACTCCATGCAAAACTGTGCTGGGATGAAAACAAAATCATTTATAAAACGGCAAAGTTGGGATTCACCACTGCAAGCTTACAAGAGGTGGACAGTAGTAAAGGTTAGTATAATTAGACACAAGTGAACAAACAGAAAGTAATATCCGCTGCATGCTACCAGAGCTAACTTTACTATAAAACAAGTTTTAGGAGAACTCTCATACCAGTAATCCCTTAATTTAATAAAAGCATTATCCGGCATTTTGGCCAAATATATAAGTCAGAGTTCTACAAGTTCGCTACTGAACGTTAATTTGGCTCGACATAACGAAAGCTAGCAGTCACAATTTATCAGGCCGCATAAATAAAAACATGGCTACCACACCGTTAAGGCAGTACAATATAAACTTACCCTAGTCATTTCTACAGATGACGTTTGTAGAACAACAATGCCGACTATTTGTGATTGCAAGTAACATTCTTCTTCTTCTTCTTCTTTTGGTTTTATGGCGGGTTGCGAACCCATCTTCTTCTTCTATGCTACTTCCGTCATTCTCTTCATTCACACCACAGTCATCGCCAAACCCGCCACGGCGTCTTTCCTTCGCCATGACGCCCCACTCCGTTCCTCGTGATCCTGCCGCCATCTTCCGGCTGCAAGTAACATTGCGCTAACTATCCCTTTAAAGCTGTCGCGGACCGCCCCTCTGCTGGCGCATGCTGATGGCGTCATCAACCACACGCCACAATTTTCAACACGTTTTTACGTTGATCAGTGCTGTGACAACCACATAAGAAGATATGACCAACGGATTATTTACATATCATATGTTTTTGTATGCTTACTGATACTGAGTATCCAGCTGAGATTAGTGTAAATCGAGTGTGTTATTAATTGCTCTATTTCCACGTGTGATATCTTGCAATGAGAATCATGAAGAGACCAAACATTCTTCTTACAGGTACGTTAGTCCTGTTTTGACACAACGAGTTTTGTATTTTTCAATACATATTATTGTATTTTTTTGTATTTTTCTTTTCAAATAATTACAACAATAAATGTTGGTGTTGTATTAGGTTGTTCCCTGTCATACAAATGTAGTTTGAATGTATTTAGTAGGTATAGCAATAATCAAAAATTACGTAGTAGTAATAATAATAAAATAGTTTTTTCATGATTGCTAAACATTGATATACTTGCTCATGAAATGGCAGGAACCCCTGGTGTAGGAAAGACCACTCTAGGCAAAGAGCTGGCTCAAAGAACAGGACTAAACTATGTGAATGTTGGTGATTTGGCACAGGAGGGTAAGTTATTCTTCTGTGAAATAAAAGTTTTTATATATATATATATATATATTAGTAGTTTTAAAATTAGTATTTTCTCTACAGGTCAGTTGTTCGATGGATTTGATGAAGAATACCAGTGTCCTATTTTGGATGAGGACAGGGTATGTACTATTGTAATGGATCTAACTGCCATGTTTTACTTAATTGTTCCCCCTTTAATGTCCCGTTGTATAGTCACAGAATTTTACAGTGCACTCTTGAACAAAATACATTTTATTGTGTTTTATTAGATCGGGGTAGGGTATAACAGGCTGCACATAATGTTAAAACATGTTAAAGACAATTTCATTTTTTTAGGTTGTGGATGAGCTGGAGGACAAAATGGGAGATGGAGGCGTCATTATTGATTACCATGGCTGTGATTTCTTTCCTGAACGCTGGTTTCACATAGTTTTTGTCCTCCGCACAGATAACACCAGTCTCTACAATCGTCTTGAAAGCAGGTTTGTGTTCATAACAGTTAACAGTATGTTCATTACAAATGTGATGTTTCAGTTTGAGCCTTTTTTGACTACTTGAAATCTTAATATAGATCCGGGATGAGCAAAACAGGGAACATTTAAGGGAAAAAAAACATTTTAAATCATCCTAAGGAAGACCAAAAAAAAAAAACCTTATTGGAGAATCACCCATAAAGCATATTTATACAGTCTTAGTAAGGCCTAATGTACAGTTCAGCAGTCATTTACATGCTATGTGGCTGTATGCTTCCTGTTGCAGTGATTTAATTTGATATCTTTCATATTCAGAGGATACACGGGAAAGAAACTCCAGGACAATGTGCAGTGTGAGATTTTCCAGACTATCTATGAGGAAGCCATGGAAGCCTACAAGGAGGAGATAGTCCACCAGCTCCCCAGTAACACTCCTGAGGACCTGGAGAGGAATCTGGAACAAATTGTTCAGTGGATTGAACAATGGATGAAAGACAACAATTGACTTTATCATATTATATGTCTTTATGGCTTCATTATACGTGAAAGGCTCAATCACTATTTGAAGTTATGTCAAAGTAGACAGACATCACATTTCATAGTTATTGTTGCCCCAGACAGAGTATTGTTCTTTTCACTACCATTGAGCTAAGGACTTAAAATGTGTGGGGCTGTTAAAAATGACTCGATTTGAAATAAGTTGATCTTGCTTCTAAAATGAATGGAAGAAATAACTATTTTTATAGTGTATTTAAAAGAGCCTCTTTCTGTTGACTTGTTTTATTTGTCTTGTTATTCGTTGATTAAATTATCAAAGATAAATTAAAATTCTTTGATTAAATGGGATATTGTTGTTTAGCTGCCACCAAATACCAGAAACGTCTGTTAGTAATTGAAATTTAGGATCAAATCTAATTCACAGAAATAATGGTAAATTACATGGGTGTTTCTCCTCAAAAGATGGATCATAAGGTTCACAAGTACATAATTAGTTTATACTTAACATAATTAGATTAATTTGGCAGCTCTTAAACTTAGCTACACTAAGTCTTATTTCTAGCAAAGTCATCAATGTTGGAGAGTCAGTTTTATTCACTTTCATTTAAATTTGCCATTTCTATTTTTGCTTTTTAATTTTATTTTTCCTCTTATTCTCCCCATTAATGCTTTGTCAACAATCAAACCATCATATCTACTTCTAAAATTCCTGGATCATCCAGTCCCTCTGGCAGTGTAAACAAAGGATAACGTTTTAGGAGTAGTAAATAACCGTTTATGTTGTCATCAATGTTCTTTTTTTTACATGCACAGTACAAACAGTGTCATCCTCTAAAAAACCCACACAATTTGTTTTGATAGATCAACTGATTTTTCATATGTGTTTCATCTAATGTTTTCTTGTGAAACTGGTTTGTATCGTGACATCACACATACTGGGGCAGGACAAGTCACGTGACCGATTCCCCTTCACCTGCAGCACCAGTGGCGGAAGACAGGTGAAGCTATCGGTACCAGGTAAGAGAGCGATGTTTTTAAATAAAATATATATATTAGGCTAAAATATGTAGTCTACACTCTCACATCTTTAGTGTAGATACTGAAAACGCTCTCACAGTGCTAAATTAGTGCGATTATTCATTTTGGATGATTTCAGAGCGTGCGTGCATTAGTTCCGTTTTATTTCTTACCTGTTCTTTGTTGACAGGCAGGTTTCAAACCGCGTTAAGATCATGTCATGCAACGAAGATGTTGAGCCATCGTTTTTTATAAAGTCACATTTTTGCTAGATTTTTTAACTCGCTTTCTAAACTCGTTTGATCATTGTGTATGTTAACTCACTTGTTTATTTTTATTTCAGGGAGCTTTGTAAGGGGAAAACACTGTTAAAATTCACCCTGTGAGGCAATGTAACTACTGTACCCAGGTAAGACGGTCATTGACTTCAGAGTTTTGTAGTATGCAGTGGGTTTTTTTCTATGTAGAGATGGACGATATAATTGTACTTTTACATGTAGACCTACGTATTTTAATTGTGCATTATTCATAGTGTAGATCATAACGTTGTAATGCCTACATCGACTAAACCATTTAAAACATTTGTTTTTAATATGTACATGTACTTATTAAATAATATTAATCATTTATTGGTTATAAACCATGGCATAACAATAATTATTGTCTTATTACTATCAGATAGAATTTAAATGTCAATGAATCCTTACTTTTATGTTTGTAAAAGATGTGCAAATGACGGGATGTCAGTATGTATGTGACATAAGGCCTTATAATAATGTGGATAAACTTTTTGATCCTTAGTTCACTCAGCTGCTAAGAACCATCCCCATGTCTTTTGGAAACGGGTCAGCGTCCCGCTTTGATCGGGTCCGCGATATGCCTCACTACGATGAGGTGCCCATCGGCTCACTGCCGTGGGGTCAGCAGGCTCCTTACCCACTTGGTGGTGAAGTAGCAGCATCCAGCTATGACAGTTTACCACCACCACCGCTCCCTGGAAACCCTCCTGTTGGCCCAGATTTCTACCCGAGTGATGTTGAAGACCAGGTGGATGACGCCATGGATATCAAACCCATCCGACGCTTCATTCCTGACTCTGTGAAGAACTTCTTCAGAGCCAGTGGCAACCAAGGCAGCAAGAAATGGACCTTTCCACCACCACCTGATGTGAACACCACCACCGAAGGCATCCCGTGCTCTCCTCCACATTCACGTGCACCGTCACCTACAGCCCCCAGCTCTTACCTAGACCCTTATGGAGGGTCTGGAGGCAGCTACAATTCAAGGAAGGAGCAGGCAACGTTATTAGGGGAGCCGCTGGAATCGGTTTCTGGTCGCTCTTTGCAGACGGCTATGACTTACAGTGAGAAGGTGGAGGAGTACAATCAGCGCTACGCATATATGAAGTCCTGGGCTGGACTTTTGCGCATTTTAGGATGTGCAGAGTTGCTTTTGGGGGCTGCTGTTTTTGCTTGTGTCTGTGCATACGTGCACAAAGATAATGAGTGGTTTAATATGTTTGGTTACTCCATGCATCAGATGTATGGGGGAGGGTATGGGGGAACAGCAATGGGTGGGATGTATGGAGGAAGTGGCATTTCCTACTCCGGACCCTTGACTCCTTTTGTTATCGTGGTGGCTGGAGTGGCCTGGATAGTGACTGTCATTCTAGTAGTGTTAGGAGTGACCATGTATTATCGTACCATTCTACTAGACTCCAGCTGGTGGCCAATCACAGAGGGTGTGATAAACTTGGTATTAGCATTGCTCTACTTGTCAGCTGCAATTGTGTATGTGCGAGACACAGTCCGTGGAGGTCTCTGCTATTATCCACATTTCAACGCTGGGCCCAATGCGGGGTTTTGCCGAACAGAGGCTGGGCAGAATGCTGCCATCATCTTTCTCTTTCTCAACATGCTGTTGTATCTTGTGGGAGCAGGCGTGTGTCTGAAGCTGTGGAGACATGAAGCTGCAAGGATGCGCAGAGAGAGAATGGGTCAAGATGTAAAGTTCCAAACATTTGTTCTTTGAAATTGATTAACATAAAGAGAAATATAATGATTGCTCAAAATGATTTTCCTATTTCAGTAATAGCAGTAAATAATCTCAGACTTTGCTAATAAAATCAAATTTGCTTGCTTTTCTGTTCTTATTTGTTTTTAGATGAAATCGGAAGGACTTCCGCTCAATATGGTAAGCAGTTGAATTTTAATATCAAGAAGAACATTTTCAGATTTTAAAATCATTGTTGTAATGTACTATTTGTAATATCAGATCGGTGCCGGCTCAAGTGTCTCTGTGCCCATCCAAACTGCTCCAGTAATGGCCAGTCCAGAATCTTATGATGGCACACCTGTCAACCCAGTTATGATGGAACCAGAGATCTTAAGGGGTCATATTCCTGCTGGCCACATCCCCAAACCTGTGGTCATTGCAGACTATGTGGCGTGAGTTTCAAAGAATACTTACGTTAACCAAAATCAATTAATTAATTCAAGCTATTTTATCCAATATATAAACTCGATTTTAATGATGTTCAGAAACTAGCACACATATTTAAGACTGGTTATTGTTGCCTCATGCTTTTTTTAATCTCTCATCCCTTTTGTAATGACTATATCTGAATGTTCTGTCTAATCTTTCTCCTCACAGGAAATATCCCACAATCCGGTCCGATGAGGAGAGGGAGCGATACAAGGCTGTGTTTAATGATCAATATGCAGAATATAAAGAGTTGCATGCTGAGGTTCAAGTCTTAACACAGAAGTTTGAGGAAATGGATATTCTGATGAGGAGTCTACCACAGCAGCCTTCCACCCAAATGGTAATGGTTGTAAACAGCATTTTGCAAATTCTTTAATTATTATTACATTTGCGGTTTTTATGAGCTTATATTATTTGAGAAACTACATGGAATATTTGTAATTGAAAATTCATTTGTCACATCTCATGACCATTAAAATTAATTAGTTAAGACACAAAGATGTTTAAAAATGGTGAAAAGCTGGTGACCAATCACAGTACAGTTCCTTTATACATTTATCTGAATACATTTATCTGAAATCTTTTGATTTAAACAGAAAAAAATGAGATATTAATTGGTTTTCCTCCCATAGGAGCAAGAGAGAGTCAATAGCATTATTCAAGAGTATAACAGAAAAAAGGCTGTAAGTACTGTTTAATACTGTTATCTATTCTACTTCTAGGAGTTTTAAAGTAATATACAGAATACATGTTAGGTATTTTACTTTTCCCAGAAAAGGGAAGCGTTGACCTAATGCCCTACACGTTGCTTCGACCCATTTCAAAACCTTCATCTGCCTGTTGCCTTTCTACATTCTTTAGTCATTGCAAAAGAATGACATTGTATCTGTCTCCATTTGAGTGCCACAGTCAGTAGAAACTGAAAAACTGGAAATGTTAGGGGGACGTCAGTGGAGCTATTGACATATTTACATACTTCCTGTCTGTGTGTGAGCGCACACCAAAGATTACTTTACCTGTTTCTGGTTGTAGGACCCGACGTACCAGGAGAAAAGGGAGAGATGTGAATATCTGAAGAACAAACTTGCACACATAAAGCAGAAAATTCAGGAGTATGACAAAGTCATGGACTGGAATGATGGTTACAGTTAAACAGAACGCCAAAGTACTTTTAAAGTTCATCACGAACTTCACAGAGGTTCCCAGAAAAGAAGCAACTGGCTGAAAGGAAATTGTCCATGGCTATACCTTCAGGAATTAACAGAGTGTTTGGTTTGCTCTTGGTTGGTATTGATATAATTTCATATTGATTTCAAGCAGGAAAGTATAATTAAGGACATCTACCACGTCAAACCCAGCACTGAAAATGTTACCTTGCTTATTTCTGACATGTCTTTCAGCAATGTTTTTAATATATACTGTATATTTCTGTATATACTTTTTATTTTAGAAGTAGGTAATTTGAAGGAAAGCAGTATGCAGGATTAGCAGTATCTCTGTAATGATCCTAAATTACTTTGTATATTTATAGTTTTGCTAGTTTGATTTTCATTTTTTGTGTGTGTTTTATACAGTCATTTGTGTTATGTGTAAAAAAAATGTAACCATGTTACTCTACCTTTGAATTTCATCATTTTTTTTCATTGATTTTGGAAGTGGATAAAATAAACAGGCCTGCCTCCACATTGTACTGGCAAAATTTTTTTTTTCAACAACATAATGAACTAGTAGTTTATACTCCGAGTAACATACCACCTCTCATGTGTCTGTTTATACTTATCACGCTATACTACATGGCTCAGAGCATTATGTGTATAGGCCTGCTGTTATAGTTGAACTGTAGTAAAGTAAGCTAAACTTTTACTGGCTTGACAGCTCTGAAGGTATCAGGTAACAAGCTGCAATGGACTCTAGGGAGAAAAGGTGCTCATTCACCTTTTTGTGCAAACCTGATGCCTCATTAATCCTGAATGTGGTGTGTAATAATCTAGAACAGGGGTCCTCAACTCTGGACCTCGAAATCCACTTTCCTGCAGAGTTTAGCTCCAACCTGGATTAAGCACACATACCTGCAACTTTGTAGTAATCCTGAAGACCTTGATCAGCTTGTTCAAGTGTGTTTGATTAGGGTTGTAACTAAACTCTGCAGGAAAGTGGATCTCGAGGTCCAGAGTTGAGGACCCCTGATCTAGAACAATGCTGCTTTAATTATTGTTATTGTTTTTGTGGCAATTTATGGTAATTGAAACCATAATTACATTACAGTTTCCACACGTTGAACTAAGGAGACTCTGACAATTAGCAAAGTACTTAAGAACAACTTGCTGTTTGTTTCCAATTCAATGATGACTGGAGTGGATTTTAAAGATCCCTCCCAGATTACACGTTCATGATTTGGGCAATCAGAAATTCCATTGGTCTTATACATAACTTGCAACTCATGCGCATATGAGATAGAAGATAAAAGTTGTTTTTGAATTATTACGGGGGTCTTTGATCTTTTTCAGACCAAGTGCCCCAGAAATTGTCTAAATTACTACACTCTTAAAAATAAAGGTGCTTCACGATGCCATAGAAGAACCTTTTTGTCTAAATGGTTCCATAAAGAACCTTTTTGTTTGACAAAAGGTTCTTTGTGGCGAAAGAAGGTTCTTCAGATTACAAAAAGGTAAGAAAGAGATGGTTCTTTAAAGAACCTTTGACTAAATGGTTCTTTGTGGAACTAAAAATGGTTCTTCTATGGCATCACTTGAAGAACCTTTTGAAGCACCTTTATTTTTAAGAGTGTAGTTTACTACTAGTATAAATTATCTAACATAAAATTATCCTAGCCTGAAAAGTAACTAGTTTTAAAAATTAAATGTGTCAAGACAATATTTTTGTAAAGCCATAGACAATATGTAGGCTATTATGAAAGTCGCTATGCAAATGAACCTGGAGCGGCTTGCATCTGAACTGTCCACTCCGCGCAGCGCTCACACGTTCGGGGCGGGGCTGCACCTGTGCAGGTGAGGATGGGGAGAGGCTGGTTTCACTGATGTGTCGTGTAAAAGACAGCTGATCTATGAAACTCTCTCAGTATTTAGCGGGCGTTTCCTGAAGGCTGAGCGTCTTGCAGGTCCGTGAAATACTTCTGTAAGGAGCGAGGAAGGGTTACAAAACATTTACCAGCTTTGACTGCTTTAGTAAGGAAGAGGGTGAGTGATTAATTTGTCTATTTTCTCATTTGTTTTTAAATATTCCCAGCTGAATACTGTAGCCTGTTCTATCTCACGTTGTTGATTGTTGTGTTGACTAATACGCAGTGGCGGATTAAGACTCTTTGGTGCCCCTGGGCAATGATATTGTATATTAATAAACTGATCTGATAACAAGGCTACAAAAATCCTTTCAAAATCAGGTTACCACTTTTTAATAATTATAATATAATTTAATAATAATTTATGCATTTAGCAGACGCTTTTATCCAAAGCGATTTACAGTGCGTACTCTGAAATTATTATATAATTATTATATTATATAATTTATATAATATATTATGATATAATTATTTATAACTTGTGAACCCACCTCTTACAGGAGTAATCTGTTCTAAGATGTGATATAAATCTGAACTGTATGCAGCAAATTGAAACATTTTATAACTAGTGAAGCCAACTGTTACAGGTATAATAATAATCCAATCTGTTAATCACTTCAGACTCTATGGAAAAAAAGAAAGAGTGGATAATCTTTTGAGTCATTGTTGTCCTCAACATTTTCTAATGTTTTACTCCCTTGTGTAAAAAGGGTGTTTTCAGAAATGCAACAATGAGTGCATGGTCTTGTTTGCAATTACATATACAGTGCTTAACAAATTTATTAGGCCACCACCCAATAGGTTTGTGCCACAGCTGCCCTAAACTAAGTATTGGTGATTACCAAAATTACCATTGTTATGTTTCTGTAATGGTTAATCCACCAGTATGTGTAAGATCTTTAGTCACAGTAGTGTTTCTAATGCTAAAATATAATTATTGTTGGGATTGAATGATTCTAAGATAGATTGCTCAAAAGTTTAATCAAAAGCAAGTCTTTGGGAACAACTAAACTATTTGGAAGTCAGTAACAACAGAGACTGTGAAAAAGTGCATAAAAAGTATGCCAGCAAGAATGCAAGCTTTTATCAAGGCCAAAGGTGGCCATAGCCTACAAAAAAAAAATAAAATAGCCTATTTATATTTTTGGTTTATTAGTTTTTGGTTATTATGTGTGAATAAAGATTATTTAGTTGTTTCAGTTTGTTATTTGCCCGATGATAACACAATTTTTAGTTTTAAACAGGTTTTTGACGGGCGGTCTAATACATTTGTTAAGCACTGTATATAGCTACATATAGTTTTGTGAGGATTTGAACTGAAAATAAAACTTACAAACCCCTTTCTTGATTGCCAATGGCTACAATTACAATGTGAAAGCGCAAGGCTGACGCTCCGTAGCGGATTCACACATCCATGAGCGAGGCATTTCAGTTGAAGAGACGGGAGTTGCGCGACTGCATGCTCCTAGAATCTGTTTGAGTAATATATGGCCGTCGAAACGAAAGCGCACGGGTTCACGCAGTAGGCTAGCCTATGTGTGAATCTTGCGATAGATCGCACATACACTGTTTCACGCATGAGAAAAAAAATAAAACTTTTAACAAAACTTTCAGAGAACTTAGTACGTTCTCATGAAAGGGTAGCCTATGTATAGGCCACAGCTAGATAGACGTTTGAGAATACATCGCTTGTTTTACCGCAGAACATTTATTTGCGTGGTGCCCCCCTGGACGTGGTGCCCCTGGGCACTTGCCCAATTGCCCATATGGTTAATCCGCCTATGCTAATACGCATAAGGATGTTGTTCGGAACTAATTGTAAGAAATGTAAATAGTTGTACGCTAAGCGTCTTGTGTTCTTTGACAAGCCTGATTTTCTACAGACCTTCGTAATGTGGTTATTTATGTAAAATGCCATGTGTAGGTGAACTAGGCTAATTCTGAGAATATTTTATCTTAATCACTTAATCAAACTGAAGTACTGATGTACTGTTTTTTTTTAACTTGATCTCAAACGTTGATATAATATTCTCATAATTCTTTGCTACAAATTAAAGCATGTTTAAAATTTTATAATTACAGCAAAATAGTCCAAATTTGTGAGTCCAGAAGTAGGCTATATTGAAAAGCATAGCAATCAAGATGTGAAATTAATGTATAATTACAATAATCTCTCTCTTTTTTTGCCCTAAAGTCTCTTATTTTTACAAAGAGACTTATAACTTGTCACCTCAGCAATCATGATATTGACTTTATCTTACTGGCTAAACTGATGGTGTTACAGCACAACAACATTCCTTGGTCTGTTTTTACAATTATTTAAAAAAAAAAATCATTCTGATTGCAGACTCATTCATAACTGTAATGTAAAAAGCCACTTTGTATCTTAATTCGTATCTTTGTATCTGGATTAACATCAGTGCATTATTTCATTATATTGTAGTGATTCATCAATTATATTTTTTCATTCTTACATTAGATTTCATTCAGACAACCCTGTGAAGTTTTTCCAGGAAGCTAGCATCATGCCGAAAAAATCAAGTCGTCCTCCTGCATATGGTGGCAGACAGTAAGTTGCATATTAGAGAACATATGTAATCATCCATTGTCAGTACAGACAAGTGTTCTTCACTGAATCCTTACTGCCCCATTCTGATGGTGTTATGATCTGTGCATTGTTGTTTTAGTATCATTGATATACTGTTGTTAATATTTTGAATTTGATTTTTTTTTTTTCTGTTTTCACTTAAATTTTAATTAGTTGATTTTGTTGTGTTTTGTCATTTTTATTACTTTTTAAATATGTCTATATAGTTTTTATTTTTTTATTTTAGTTTATTTCGTTTTAGTTATGTTAGTGCTTCAAGTTAAACTAAAATGTTGCCTTTAAAGCTATATGAAATAACATAAGTTTAAGATGTTTTTTTTTTTTAATATGTTACTTAAATTTAGTTAACATTTAAAATGTGTTTTTTTATGGTTTTAGATTTAGCTTTAGTTAACTATAATAACCCTGGATCTGAGTGGTTTTAAAACAGAAGTTTTAAAACATAATTAGTTAATTTTCCTTTAACTCATCCATATTATCTCACATTGTCATTTCAGTCATCACCGATCCACCCATCGCAGAACTTCTTACCACCCTGATGAAATGCTTCACTTTTACCGCTGGACATCACCCCCAGGTGTCATGAAGATTTTGTGCATCATCATCATCATTTTGTGTGTGGCTATGTTTGCCTGTGTAGCCTCCACACTGGCATGGGACTATGATGCCAGCGCCATGGGCCTTGGGGGTCTTGGGGGTCTTGCTGATGGTGTTACAGCACAACAACATTCCTTGGTCTGTTTTTACAATTATTTAAAAAAAAAAATCATTCTGATTGCAGACTCATTCATAACTGTAATGTAAAAAGCCACTTTGTATCTTAATTCGTATCTTTGTATCTGGATTAACATCAGTGCATTATTTCATTATATTGTAGTGATTCATCAATTATATTTTTTCATTCTTACATTAGATTTCATTCAGACAACCCTGTGAAGTTTTTCCAGGAAGCTAGCATCATGCCGAAAAAATCAAGTCGTCCTCCTGCATATGGTGGCAGACAGTAAGTTGCATATTAGAGAACATATGTAATCATCCATTGTCAGTACAGACAAGTGTTCTTCACTGAATCCTTACTGCCCCATTCTGATGGTGTTATGATCTGTGCATTGTTGTTTTAGTATCATTGATATACTGTTGTTAATATTTTGAATTTGATTTTTTTTTTTTCTGTTTTCACTTAAATTTTAATTAGTTGATTTTGTTGTGTTTTGTCATTTTTATTACTTTTTAAATATGTCTATATAGTTTTTATTTTTTTATTTTAGTTTATTTCGTTTTAGTTATGTTAGTGCTTCAAGTTAAACTAAAATGTTGCCTTTAAAGCTATATGAAATAACATAAGTTTAAGATGTTTTTTTTTTTTAATATGTTACTTAAATTTAGTTAACATTTAAAATGTGTTTTTTTATGGTTTTAGATTTAGCTTTAGTTAACTATAATAACCCTGGATCTGAGTGGTTTTAAAACAGAAGTTTTAAAACATAATTAGTTAATTTTCCTTTAACTCATCCATATTATCTCACATTGTCATTTCAGTCATCACCGATCCACCCATCGCAGAACTTCTTACCACCCTGATGAAATGCTTCACTTTTACCGCTGGACATCACCCCCAGGTGTCATGAAGATTTTGTGCATCATCATCATAATTTTGTGTGTGGCTATGTTTGCCTGTGTAGCCTCCACACTGGCATGGGACTATGATGCCAGCGCCATGGGCCTTGGGGGTCTTGGGGGTCTTGGAGGCAGCTATAGTGGTGGAGGGTATGGTGGTGGTGGTGGTGGTGGTGGGCTTGGTGGATATGGAGGAAGTGGGAGTCTCGGAGGCTACGGCTATGGAGGCGGCACGTACATGGATCCGAAATCAGGCAAGGGCTTCATCATCGCAATCGCTGCAATCACCTTTATTGCTGTGCTCATCATCTTCATCCTGGCGGTGTCGAGACAGAACGCTGCGCAGTCTCCCTCATTCTACCTGGCCTCCATCATTATTAGTGCCATCCTGGCTGTACTAATGCTCATCGCCACCATTGTGTACCTGGTCGCTGTTAACCCCACTTCTCAGACATCTGGATCCATGATGTATAATCAGATCTTGCAGATGTGTGCACAATATAAGAACCAAGATCAGGCCTCTGGGATCTTCCTCAATCAATATTTATACCACTACTGTGTAGTGGAGCCTGAAGAGGTGAGCATGTGCTCCTGACAGGGAGTAGGCCATCTATATAACAACATTTGTTCAGTTCAGGTTGACTATTATCAGACACAACTTAAGACATTTCTGTTGTGTAGAAATGCTAGATGAGATTCATGCAAATACACAAACCAATCCTCTATTTTGTAGTTCATTTACGGTGCTATTTAAAGTATTATTTCTTTTTTTCTCCTCATTACAAGGCCATTGCTGTTGTTCTTGGGTTTCTGGTTGTGGTCGGATTGATCATCTTACTTGTTTTCGCTGTGAAGACCCGAGGGCAGATCAGGAGATACGGCAGGGAGCGTGTTCTGTGGTATGATGTGAAGACCATCACCGACGGCCTCACGTCTCAAGGCATCGGAGAATGGGTAAGAATTTTCACTAGCAAATTCCTCAAAAGATAAGTTTCATTTCCTGTTCATGTTAGTTCTTCATTCGTTTTCTTCATTCAGTACAATGCATGGATTTATGAGGTCATGAAATTTAATACTGTTTGTTGCACTAAGGTTGTACTACTACTACTACTACTACTACATATTTATATCCTAGAATGCTTCTTGATGCATGTTGTTTTATTTTCAAGAGTTGCTATGTGGTGCCTATAATTGGTCCACTGTTTTTAGCAGTATCATTGGTCTAGACCATTGCAATTAAGACTCTTCCACGAAGAGAAGTTTCAGAGAAAGATTTCTATGAAGAGGTGTTTTTATGTCTAGTTTCTGGGTGTGTCCTCTTAGGCACTTTCACTTGATGGGAAGCATGATTATGATACAAAATTCCATGATGAAATGCATGGAACACTTGATAGTGACTTAAAAGTTTATGAAATGGTGGGTGGGAATTGTTAGATCCAAAAAAAACATTAGCATGTTCTAGTGTTATTAGGCCACTCCACTGGCTTTGTTCTTTCACAATTCACCATGTAAGCAGTGGTAGTTTTGTCCTTTATGTCATGATGGTATTTGTGGAAGTGGTGGAACCGGTTTTGCCTGGCTTTAATGTTTGTCCAGACTATTTACTATACAAAAAGAAGGCTGAGTGCGTTGGGGAAACAGAGAAGCTAAAGTAAAAGAGGCCTGCAACAACACTTAGGAGTTACAGACTACCACATGATCGGTGAAAATATTTTGAGGCTGTATGGAGGGGTGGGGTATTATAAAAAAAACACTCTGGAAAAACACCTTTTGATGCAGTGTTAAGATGGCTACAAACAGGACTTGTACCCAGAGTAAACAGGTTTCAGTGCATCAACTTATTATTAAATGCACATTGTTTCCAAACTGTAAAAATGGAATGTGGAATTGCCTACAGTAAAGTTATTTATTTATTTATTTTTTACAAAATGTCTGGATATGATGTTCTTTGTTTTTCTTCAGGTAAATAATGTGTCTGGAGATCCAGAGGCTTTTGTCAGTGACCACAATCACCAAATCAGTGTTGCACAGCCAAAGGTTCACAGCCAGAAACCAATTTACCTTCCAAGGTAGGTCATCTCAGTACTTTTAATTTTGTTGCAAAAACAAATGCGTAGAACAATATTTTCATATTTCTGTAGACTTTGTTCAGTGATTTTGCATTGATAGGGCTTTGCTGTTTTAGAATATGCTTGGTTATTATAGATATGAACTATATTAGTAGTGGTTGACTCTTTTTTTTTATTTTTTATAAATAACTAAAAAATAATAACATCTGCATGCAATTTAATAATAGCAAATTAAAATTGTACACAAAGTCACGCCGTAAGCAGAATGAACACTTTTGTTAATCAGCCAAGCAAGCACAGACTGGCTCAAAATGATTGGCCTGCTCAATATTAGTCTGTCACTAGACTATGTGCCACGGAATGAAGGAATCCAGGAAATCTTGTCCCTGTATGAATAGGACCTGGTGGATTTTGTTTTGTCATGAACACGAATAACCAGTTTCACAGACTGATTATGTGAACTGACTGAAACTATTGTAATCAGAAAGCTATTCTTACTCTGTCAGTTACAATCAAAATTGTAAAAATATCACACCCAAGTTATTAACAAAATTTCTATTGGTGTTATTTATTTATTTTTTTTTTATCTAAAGTGGTTCTGACTTGACGAGCTCTTTAAGTGGAATGAAGGGCAAACTGAGAGACTATGACACTGGAGAGTCTGGAGATGAGCTGGAAACTGGCTATGAAAGGTGAGGAAAATCTTATAGCTGGTAGTATTGGAGCACGTTTTAACAAAAAAATACTCAGCATCTGTGACTTTATGTAATCGGTATCACTCTTGTCATATTTTTCCCTTTACCTCTATTCTGTGCTGCCATGCTCTCAGTGAGTATCCTCCCATCATTAATGAGCAGGAGAGGCTTGGGTACAAGAGAGAGTTTGACAGAGACCACATGGAGTACAAGCGTCTTCAGGCTGAGCTAGATGATATTAATCAGGGCTTGGCAGAAGCAGATCGAGAGCTGGACAGCTCACAGGAAGGCAGCCCACAGTTCATGGTATGCTATCTATAAAGTGAAAACTGTTCTTCTAAAGGTTGGATATTTTTCCATCTTCTGACTCTTAATATGCGGAGCTCTGTTTGAGCTCTGCCTGTCTGTCACAATAATTCACATGCTTAAGGTTATTGGTGGTGTAAGGTCACTTAATCTCTGATTTTCACAGTATCTCTTCCACATTAAAAAAAAAAAAAAATCACTTTAATGATATTAAGCATTCATTTAATATTATGTCTCTATCTGTTGGTATATATCCTGTTGATAAATTATTATTGTTGTTGTTGTTAAAATATATGTTACATTAATATATATTACTCGTTTTTATTCCCTAAAAAGGATGCCATGGATGTATACAACAGGCTCAAAAGTTTAAAGAAGGTAAACCCTTTGTGTCATCTTTAAAAAAAAATTCAGACTAGAATATCATGAATTGCATAATTTGTCACAGCTGTTCAAAATAACTGTTTATAGTAGAAAAAAAATGATATATGCGTATGATACAAAGGTAAATGCTGACCTGTTTCCTTTCTCACAGTCTGCAGACTATCAGATGAAAAAGAAAAGGTGTAAACAGCTGAAGACAAAACTGTCCTTGATCAAAAGAAGAGTCAGCGACTATGACCACAGACAATAAGACCTGGCAATGGAAACTCAGGAGGGTATATTATGTCACATGATGTTTTTTTTTTTCAGGACTTTACTGTATCTGTATTTCTGTATTAAAAATCTGCATTACTGTATTATTATCAAGAACTGTATGGCTGCTGTATGACAAGAGTTTTGCTTTTGAGCCAAACTAAGCTTGATCAAAATATTGTGGTATCAATGAAGTATTTTGTTTTACTTTTTAAAGCTAAATGAAGTCTCCTTTTAACCATTTATCTTTTGCCGCAGACATTTAGTCAAGTCAAGGTTAGTGTATATCTTAAAAACAGTGTTGGGCAGTAACTAGTAACTTAGTTACTGTAATAATATTAAATTAAAGGTGATGGACAGTGATCTA